AATGACTAAAATGGAAAAGACTGGCAAAACAAACTATTGGCAAAGATATCCAGCAAAGGGAACTCTCTTACATGGCTGGGAGAAGCCTAACATTGCAAAACCACTTCAGAAAACTGCCTGGCTTTACCTTATACAGTTCAATATATATCTACCATATGACCCAGCATTTTTATTTCTGGTTATTTACCTGTGAGAAACACCTGTGCCCACATAAAGACTAGCTCATGGATGTCCATACAGCTTTGTTCGCCATAGTTCCCACATGGAAACTACCCAAATGTCTATCCACAGGTAAATGGATGGACAAAACGTTGTCTATCCATAAAATGAAGTACTCTTCAGCAACAAAAAACCTCCAGTGATGTATACGATAATATGTATAAATCTCAAAGGTATTACGCTAAGTGAAAGAAACTGGACACAAAAGAGTGGATATTGTAAGATTTCATTTATGTAACATTTTTAAAAATTTTTTTTTTTTTCTGAGTTGGAGTCTCACTCTGTCGCCCAGACTGGAGTGCAGTGGCCGCTCCTGGCCACCGTGGCCTCCACCTGCTGGGCTCCGGCGATCCTTCCACCTCAGCCTTCCGAGTAGCCAGAATTACAGGCATGCACTACCACACCTGGCTGATTTTTTTAAAATTTATTGTAGAGATGAGGTCTCGCTGCCCAGGTGGGTCTCGAACCCGCGGGCTCAGGCAATCCACTCACCTCAGCCTCCCAAAGGCGCGGGATGACAGGCTGAGCCACCGAGCCCGGTTTATGTAACATTTTATACAGTGTAAATGCAGTAAATGCATCTGTCATGACAGAAAGCACATTAGTGACTGCCTGAAGGCTAGGAATCACAGGGACACAAGAAAACTTTTTTTTGGTTGGAAATTTCCTGCATCTTGTTTGCCGTTGTGACCTCACAGGTGTCACCACAGAAACTCATGAAATGGCTTAAGTGCCACTTTAAAAAGGACTCAGAGAATGTCAGATTAAACAATGTGGTTTAAGGAGAGAGATGCCGGACTGGGTGTGATGGCTCATGCTTGTCATCCCAGGACTTTTGAAGGCCTGGGAGAGAGGATCATGAACCCAGGAGTTTGAGGCCAGCCTAGGCAACCCAGCAAGACTTCGTCTCTACAAAAAAATAAAAACAATTAGCTGGGTGTGGTTGTGAACGCCTGTAGTCCCAGCTACGTGGGAGGCTGAGGTGGAAGGATTGTTTGAGCCCAGGAGGTCAATGTTGGCATGAGTTATGATTGCACCATTGCGTTCCAGCCTGGGTGGCAGAGTGAGACTCAAAGAAAAGACAGAGATACTGTCTTTGTTTTCTAGGATCACAGGTACGAAGCATCTAAGAGATGCTAACACAGCATTCTTTAGATACACTTTCTGTTCTGTTGCCATTGTTCTCTACATTCCTGTGGGCATTATTATGTCAATGAAGAAGAAAGAGCGTATGATATCAAGAGGCAGGCAAAACCACATATCAATTCGACACACCTGATGAGGTTAAGCCTTAGTGCTTATGAACCGGTAATTCTCCTGTATTTTGTTTGAACCCCTGGCGCACAATAACTATCTCTTTTCCTTAGAAATTCCCCATCTTCCACGAAGATGGCATACAAGATTGTTCTGTTGGTTGAGGTCATTTCCTCTTTGTAAAGAGGAGGAGCCAGACCTGGGAAGATGAAGCCACAAAGTCACGGGGTATCTCCTGAGACTCAGCGCCTTTTTAGTCTTTCCTTCTATAGTGAAAACAAACACAAGTTTCAAGTGCTAAGACTATTTGTAGCAATAATGATAATAATAATAATAATAAACACTGAACATGGACAACCCATGTGAGAATGGAGGCAAATGAGGGAAGTGAAGATTATGTCAGTCCCAGGTCCTCAGAAGTAATATGTTATTGTTTTCCTTGATCCCAATAGCCTGACATGATGCCAAGTTCATCATAGGCGAATTAATCAAATTATATCTTCTAGTCTACCTGTGGTACCTCGACTACATTGTAATTCCCTTGATGACCAAGTTGTGGCTTTTTTATTTTTCTGCTTCCCATAGATTCGGACATACTTCCTGTCGCATACTTGATACTTAGTAACAATTTACAATAAATTGAGCAAATGTCAAAAGTCCTATTTTCAGAAAGGAAGACTTATACTTTCATGTGGACTTTATATTTTCATTCTGGTATCACATATCATTTTGTCTGCATGTCTGTGTGTGAAGTAACAACGTATACTCTCTTTATAAGGTATTTTCTGTTTCAACAACTGTGCGATTATAAGGTGAAAACTATTCCCAAATGCCACAAGAGCTAATGACAAATGCAGAAATATTGCTAAAGAATATTTCTCTTGAAGTTTTAATGTCATAGCAATTCAGTGAGGAAAGACAAAAAGACATTCTGATACTAGGCATGTATAGGTATCAGGATTTGGCCTCTTACTGTTTATCTATTGAAAAAAAATGGAGAGGGAAAAAAATCTAGTGACCATGATTTCTGTGTTATTCAATATTTTATTAATGAGGGAAGTATCATTTTAACTGCAGCAATCCATAGAATTATGGACTGATTACTAGTTCAAGTGACAGAGTCCTACAGTGAAACCCATAATTTTACATTACATTCAGCAAGAGATGATGGCAGTTCTTCACATATAATGGTGTTGCTAGCCCAGAATCTTGTTAACACTTGTAGTCTGAGAGGTTGTGCTTATCCTCTCTCATTCTTATTTTGAGCCAGACAGAAAAAAATTTTAAGATCTACTGGCCTTTATTTTTCACAAATGGGATTTGGTCAGTTAGAAATTTGCAAAGAGGAGGAGCTTTGATTTAAAAATTTGAGAATTGAAGTGGAATAATAAAATTACAAAGAAATGAATCTTTTTTTCTTTTTTTTCCCAAAATGAAGAAATACAAGTGCTGTGGTTTGACTTGCATTTAGCTCTTTGTAGCTATTTCTAGTCACTGATTCTATGGAAAGTCGCTAAGGAGTTAGTTGCTTGTTACTGGGCAACAATTTATTCCAATTATAACTGAAATGTTGCTAATAGACAGTTACTGGTGGATAAGAACAGACTTTAAAAATGAACTATTAAATCCACAGCTTTTTCTCTTGTTGTAAAGAGGCAGAAATTATTCTAACAATTGACACTTTTTAATGTTCTGAGGTCTTTTTAGACATTTCAAGCGATCCAGGGGCATCGGTGAGGACCCGAGGGCGGCATGGTTCAGAGCTGTTAAATGTAGAAGTGACATAATTAGATAAAATAGCTACAGAGACCAGGGACCAAATGTTACCAGTGTATGGAATTCCACATTCTCTAAAAAATGCAAATGGCATACAACCTTCAAACATCCATAGGAGAGTTTTTCTTTAGAAAAAGCTTTTAATGGACATCTGGTAACTACATTCTCTCTCCCTCATCCTCCCCATCACATTTCTGCTTATCCGTTAAAAAAACAAAAACAAAATCTACCACAGCTTTCAAAGAACAACGGAAAACAGCAAAATATATTTCTTGTTTTTTCACATGTACCTTTAAAGGAGAAGACACTAAAAAAAAAGGAGAATTCTTGTTCCCAAGTTTCTTGACCCAAATCCAAGCTGACTCACTGACAAGCCTAAACCTTTCCATGTGTCTTCCAGCTTCTGAGGTGAGAATTTGGATACGCTCAAAGTTTGCCACATAGATATATTTTTCAAATGATATGTTTGGTATACAAAAAGATGTATATTTCTTTTTTTCTTTATAGTATTAAAATGCCATGTATAATATGCTGGTCATAGTTGCAAATTCACATGAGCAAAATTACATGCACAGAAGGAACATTGATTGCAGGAGATTTATCGTATAGCCGACAGTCACATAATTTGAAATGTTGTAAGTGATCTGTTCAGTTTTAAAGGTAGTCAGAAAAGCCAGTTGCTGAAAATTTATACTATCTAGTTTCATTTTTCCCCCCACAGTAGGCAAGGACATTCTCAGTAACCGTTCCAGGCAGAGTATATATGGAAATACTTGTTGAATTTAATTGTATTGAATTAAAATTTGTCCTTTTAAAGAATAAAATTGGCATCTAAGTACAAGGTCCCCCAAATGATGTAGGTTCTTCACAGTTGACTGTCTAATGAACTCCTGACTAGCTACAGATGAAAGGGATTAAAATAACTTTACTGAGTACTCACTTTGCTCTGTTTCATTATCTGGACTAAGGAAGTCTGCAATAATTACAGTGCTCCTTAAAAAAAAGTTTCATCATTGTACTTCCTGTCTGATGAGTAAACAGCAAAGCCGTTACGGTCTGTAAGGTACCTATTAAAACCCATAATATCCCTGCAAGGGAGTAACTTGGAGAAACTCAAGAATTCTCTCTGACAGGACACTGAAACTCCAAACGATCAAACAACTCATTGTCATAGTGCGACAATCTTAGCCCTGTTGCAACTGGGCAAACAGTCAATTTGCAGAGAGAAGCATCATCAGTGCAGATAGGAATGCTGTTATTACCCATTATAAGTATGACGCGAAGGTCATATATCAGGCAATTACACCTTTTCATTACATGCTAACCCCTCACGGCAGGGAAGCCACGCTTATGACTGCATTAGACAGACAAAGCCTTCAGCTCTTTAAAAAAAAACCAAAAGCAAAAAAAAAAAAAAAAGATAAAAAAAATTAAACTCGTTCTCTTACCAGCACGATGCAGCACCAACTCGCTCACAGGAATGTTGCCTTTACAGGTTTCTCTATTAATTATCCTGGAAGCAGGGAGAAAAAAAAATTTTAAAAAAGGCAAAGAAGAAGAAGAAGCAGGGTGGTTAAATTAGCGTGCTGGAATCTTTTCAGTTTGTCGCAGAGTAGAAAAATAAAAAAGGGAAAAAAAAGGCTCAGTAATTTAAATTTGCTCTCAGTTCAGGCTGCATCGCTGGGTCCCGCCCCTTCTTCCCGCTGGGTCCCACTACCTGCAAAGCTGGAACTGACAGTTACTGTGCAAACAAAAAAAAGGCAACAAGCATGCTGGGACCATTCTGTCTGCTGTTTGGGTCTCACTTGTCCTGACAACTAAAAATCAGCAGTGGAAAGGTATTCTACATTTTCTTTTTGAGGTACCTGCATGCAATTCCCTTCCATTTTAATTGATACACCATAGTTCATGATGTTGGGGTTTGATTATGGTGGGAGTTTTTTTTCTTTCCTTTTTCTAAATATCAATAATAATTATAATTAATAACATTCTTACTATTATTTGTCTGTGACATCCTTTTTATTCCTTGCTGTCCCTTCTATTGCTCCAAAATACATTCTCTCCTGGTCCTTTCCTTTAATTCACAAATATTGAAATTTCTAGGAATATGGAGATGGGAATACAAGGATTACTAGGGCTTCCACTTCTCCTTTCACTTTTTTTTGGGGGGGGTAGTTGGCGGGGAAGGAAGCATGTAATGCTGAGAATAATTCAAGGGACAGAGGGTCTAGGAAAAAGGTCCCATAGACAACAGAAACTTCTAAGAAGGCTGAAATTTTAAAACAAAGTCTCTGCAACTAAATTTTTAAAAGTTTATTTTAATATTTATGTACTGAGCAAATAATTAAGAATCACAGAAATAAACTTAGTCTACATTGCCAATTTAACCTAAGGTGCCTCCTATAGAAAAACCACTTTAATTTTAGCAGCAACAACAAAAACCTGTTACTTAATGGGAAGCATATTGCGAATCTGAAGCAGAGGAATTATGAAAGATAAAAAAACCCATCCTTCTTCTGTCAGAATGTAAATTGCTTACGTAGAATTTCAACAAGTTTTTTTTGTTGTTCTTTTCTAAATGTTCTTTTTAGATGAGAACATTAGAGATGACTTTAGTATTGAAGCGATCACAAGCCTGCAGGTGGTAGGGATCATGTACAAGTTTGTCTCTTAATTTGAAGCATTGCTTTTTTAATTGTATCTAGCATTGATTCTCCTTTGAAAGTATGAATTTTTCTTGGATCATTTTGCTACTCTAACATAAGAATACCGGGCTGACTGATGTGTCATATTACTTGGCTGGGGTTAGGGTTGTTAAGAGTAAAAATGATAATTGTACATGGTTCTTTGCCAGTGACAGAAGACATGGAAGAAAGTTACTCTTGATAACACGATGGTGTTTAACCTACTTTTGCTAGTTAGTTTTTGTATCTAAAAAAAAAAAAAAATCCCTCATCCCTACCTCAAGCCATTTAAATGAATTTCACTTTCTGTACAACTTGTAGAATCCTTTAAAGTCAAGAATGGGTTACTTTAATGCATTTCACTTTTAAAATTAGACTTTCAAGAAAGAAATGATTAACAATATAAATTAAGTAAACATGATTTAGCTTTTGAAGCCGGTAAAAATTTAGCTGAATGCCAGATATTTGTTCTGTGATCTGAAGTCCATCATAAAACATAGCCAATTAAAGACGGAAAAGTCTGAGAAGGCAAAAAGCAAACCACATATTTTTCTTGTTATAACACTACTGTCAGAAATGAATGCCTTTTTCTCAGTTCCTACTAACAACTAGAGCATAGAAAAATAAGACAGGTCAAGTACTCAAGAAGCCATGCTAACTTCCCCAATAGTTAGGTAATCAGCTTTAATGAAACAGTAGCAAATTACACCAATGTGCTAATTACAGTACTTTGTCACAGCATAAAATGCAATAAAACAACCCATCCCTTGGCTTGGAAAGTGTTATGCATAGATTCTTTCAAAAGATTTAATTGAAAAGAGATTTTATTTTCCTGAAGCATTCTGTAATTTCAAATGGTTTTCCCTCAGTTTTTTTCCTTTTTAGGAGCAGTTCTAGACAGAAAAAATAGATACAAGAGTTAAAGAAAAACAATAATGGCCTTTATAAAATTAGTATCTGTATTACTGCAAAATGTATGACTCATATGCTAACATTGATTACTTTGATAAAATTATGAATAACATAGCATACTTAGAACATGTCAGGTAATGCACACATATACACAGAGTAGCACACGTTGATTTATATTCTAAATGTCTGTTTTGAAGAATACTTTCATGGTTATTAATACTAATTGAATTCAGTTAGCAGAATATTAGTCTTAAGTAAAATAATCTTGACATTGAACTTCAGAGAAGGAACGTTTTTGTTTGGATAAGGTCAAGCAGGTTTTAACAAATTGTGAGCCACATGATTCCACTGGACATTTAACCTGTTACTTCAGAAGTTTTTACTTGGTGCTGGGGAAATCAAGTAATATAGATTGCATATCTCATAGCCATACTGGAAAACAAACCACTTCAAAAATGAATCTCCAGCTCAATTGTTAGAGAATTCTGTGTAGCAACAAATATTTAGGTGACTGTCAAGTCATGACAATGTCTTTTAAAGAAATAAGTTTTCTGGAGATGAATTTTAAAGAACTTCTTGAAATAGGTATACTGTCATACACTATTTAAAATTTCACGCTCAGAGAGAAGTAATATCAAGGTGGGAAATGCTAATTCACTTTTTAAAACTGTATCAAATTAGTACATTTTAATCTTCTCAGTTATAATTGACAATTAAGTATCATTTTCAAACTTCTGGCATAGATTTAAATTATTACTTTTTGACAACTGTCTTTATTCTGAGTCAACTGTCTTAAGTGTGATTTTACTGTTTTGTCTTTTGGGCATTGGAACCCTACCTAATGAATCATGTGTTGTGGCCCTGATGTCTTATTGAATACAATAGCCAATGCAGAGTGTTATTTTGAAAATGTCAATATAATTTAGAAAAATTGTCCACTTCTATTGCACCACGTAGGTATCATAACTAGCCCATTTAAACCTTAATAATCAGAAAATTTTTTCCCAGTGCTATCATGAAAGTGGTCTGCTACGCATGTCTTGAACCATGTCTTCAATCATTGAATCCATTTGATTACGTTTATGAAAAGTTTAATTTGATGTTTCAAATTTAAATACACAGACAAAATTTCTGATTGTAAGGAAATCTTTGCAATCATTTCTTTGGAACCAAGTAGATATGGAATTGTGGACAATTTTGCTCTGGGTATTCAGATTACAAAGGAGTCAAAACAGAAACTGGTATTTGGCCTAGGATAGAACAAAAACCACAAAGATGACTTTATTCCTCAGTAAGCCATTTCCCCTAGGCTTCCATATTTTTACACTGACAAGAAAACACACGGCACATGGACTATGTTTTTAGACTGAATTCAATTCTGAAATATAAGGTAGTTCATGTGAGAGTAGGCCAAATGGATAAACATAATATCCCTGTTCTATCAGTGCTGAGTACACGTGATGTATGAAGTTTCATGGCCTTCTAAAAATTAATTTCTATTTCTAAACCATAAGTATGCAATGCTCCTCTAAAAGGCATAAAAAACATACAAGATATAAGCAGAGAGCACTGTAAGCCACAGAAAATATAAACAGAGAACCTGAGCTATAGAGACATATAAATAACGAGAGCATTTTACGACATACCTATTACATGGAAAAACTGGCTACAAGAGTTTTGAAAGGCATATTGGAAATAAGCAGCTTCCTTACAAATCGGTTGAGAAGAGATTGTATTCTGAGAAAGTTTAAGCAGAGATGAAAGCCCAAGGAAATACCAATCACTATATTGGTATGCGGTAAGAAAAGAGCGACAGAGGACTCTCTCTACCCTGGCCTTCCCTTACTATCCTTGACTTCTATTATTCTCTGTTCTGTTTTTTCCTTCTATGAGCATCTCCTTCTTTGAGCTTTTACTTATGAGTGAGAACATGCAATGATCAACTTTCTGTTCCTGGCTAAGTGGTCCTTTAGCATAATGTTAACCCATGCTGCCACGAATAACAGGATTTCATTCTTCTTCTTAATGGCTGAAGAGTATTCCATTGTGTGTATATATACCATATTTTCCTTCCTTTTTTTGGGGGGGGGGTCAGTGTCTCACTCTGTCGCCCAGGCTGGAGTGCACACTCATGGCCACGGCAGCCTCGACCTGTTGGGCTCAGATGATCCTTCTACCTCAGCCTTCCAAGTAGCTGGAACTACAGGCACACGCCACCATGCCCGGATCATTTTTTTGGTTTATTGTAGAGATGGGGCTGGTCTCAAAACCGTGGGCTCAGGCAATCCTCTCACCTCGACCTCCCAAAGTGCTGGGATTATAGGCGTGAGCCACTGTGCCTGGCCCACATTTTCTTTATCCATTCTTCTATTGTTAGACATTTAGGCTGATTCCATATCTTGGCTATCATGAATAGTGCCACAATAAATATGGGGGTGCAGATGTCGGAGAGGAATAAATTTTAGTGTTCTGTACCACTGTGGGTTGACTATAGTTAATAATAATATATTATATAGTTTCAAATAGCTTAAAGGAGGATAGTGAATGTTCCTAACACAAAGAAATGATGTTTGCAATAATGGGTGTGCTAATTTCCCTGGTCTCTCTATATTATATATATTGAAATATCAGTATGTATCTCATAAATATGTACCATGATGTCAAGTAAAAGACAATTAGGTGAAGTTTTAGAAGGTGAAAAAATAGAAACTAAAAAGTGTACACACCCACAAAAAGGATGACACAGGGCTAATAGAACAGGATGAGAAGAACACATTCGATGTTCAAAAGAAGGAGTGACTTCTCACTTGGATAACGAAGTGGATGGCAGTGCATGTTCTTTGGTGGTCGTGGGGGGGAGAGCTGTTTGGGAATAGTGGGTGACAATGAGGTCACCTTGAATCAAGCCACTTTGAGAACTCAGTTGGACAAAGTAGAGGAGATGGCCAGTGTCTGGGTCCAACTCTCAGGACAGTCATCCGTGGAGACACCATGATGATGAGTCGTTAGCATACAATGGAATCCTTTAATGAGCTCTTCAAGAGAGGGTCAATAAATAAGAGGAGGATTCCAGGAATGGCCAAGGGAAGCAAGCTCAAGTGATAGATTGAATAATGACTTGAGAGGTAAGAAGGAATGTGGAACAAAGTGGGATAAGATAATTCAAGTAAAGATGATTTGGAGCAGACCAAGGCATCACATTCTGCAAAGATTTCAAATATTTATAATCTGAACTGGAATAG